TCAACCACACCAAAGGAAGCGGCGGCGAGCCTCAAGCCACCTCACCAAGAATGAGACTAATCAGTTGGAATTGTAGGGGGTTTGGCCAACCCCTTACAAGAAGCTATTGCGGCAGATTTTGTCGAAAGTATGGCCCTTCAATGATTTTCTTGATGGAGACTAAGAAGGATAACTCCTTTCTAGAAGAACAAAAGAGATTGTTGAAGTTTGAACACTCGGACTATGTGAGCCCAGCAGTTGAAGGCAGCGGACTGGCGCTGTGGTGGAAGGATGATGTTCAAGTTAGTGTGTTAGAGTCATGTAAATCTTTTATGGATGTTAAGGTGTGTAGGGAAGGGGTTAGTTTCTTTTGCACTTTCGTCCATGCTCCTACCACGGTGGTAGAGAGACGGGCTCTCTGGGAAAGAATTACTGCACTTAGAGAGAACCAGGATGAAAAGTGGTTGCTTGTTGGTGATTTCAATGTTGCTTTGTATCCGTCGGAGAAAGAAGGAAGATGCCCCATCCGTAATGAAAACGTCAACCCCTTCAAGTACTTCATCGAGCAAAATGCCCTCATTGATCTTGGCTTCTTTGGCCACCCTCTAACCTGGACCAACAAACAACAAGGGGAGAGACTGATCAGAGAACGTTTGGACCGAGGATTGTGCTCTCCTGCCTGGAGGGTGGAGTTTGATGCAGCGGCGGTGTTCCATGAAGAATTCGTTGAGTCAGATCACTGTCCAATCAGGGTTGATCTGAATCCTAAAATGGCTAGGAGGAACATCCCCTTCAGGTTCGACAAGAGATGGAACAATAATGAGGTCTGTGTTGAGCTGGTTCAGGAATTGTGGAATGCAGGGGAGCCGATTTACAAGACCCTTATTGACTGCAAAGAGAAACTCTCTGCCTGGGCAAAAATGGACAGAACGGCGAAGTTCCTCAGAGAGAATGAGATTAAATACAGGCTCCAGCAGCTTCAAGGACCACACCGCACTCCCTCGATGAAAATGGAAGAGGAGGCTCTACATCTTGAACTACAAATGGTTTGGAAGGAGGAGGAAGAATTATGGGCACAGAGATCCAGAAACTCGTGGCTACAAGAAGTAGATCAGAACACTGGCTTCTTCCATGCTTCCACAGTCAAAAGGAAAAATGCAAATAGAATTAACAAAATCAAGACAGCCCAGAATGTTTGGATTGACGACAAACAGGAAGTTGAAAATCACATTAACTCCTTTTATCAGTGTTTGTTTACCACAAGAGGAGGTACCTTTGACCCCGGATTACTTGATGGGTTCCCCCAGATTGTAACAAGTGAAGATAACACCCTGCTAACGGCACCGTTTTCTAATGATGAAATCCGGAAGGCAGTGTTCCAACTCGGAGCAAATAAAGCCCCAGGACCTGATGGGTTCCCGGGTTACTTCTTCCGCAAGTTTTGGCTATCTTTGGGTAACAGGCTGTGTGATGAAATTCGTGACTTCTTCAGGACCAATAAGATGGCCGAAGGGTGGAATGACACCTTTATTACCCTCATCCCCAAAATTGACAATCCGGACAAGATTGGACAATACAGGCCTATCAGTTGCTGCAATTTCAGGTATAAAGTGATCACAAAAATCATGACGACCAGACTCCAGCCTTTCCTCCCCTCTCTGGTCAATGATTTACAGGCTGCCTTTACCGGAGGAAGACTCATTCAAGACAACATTATTATTGTGCACGAAGTACTAAATCATTTCAAGAAACATAAGACAAGAAAGCGAAAGGACATGATGCTGAAGTTAGATATGAAGAAAGCGTATGATCTGGTCGAGTGGGATTTCCTGATTGAGCTTCTTCGCGCTTATGGGTTCAATGAAGAATGGTGTGGATGGGTCAAAGAGTGCATTAGTCCTGTTCGGTTCCAGATCCTGATTAATGGAGAGCCCTCCTCTGTCTTCTCACCGTCTCGAGGGATTCGGCAAGGAGACCCCTTATCGCCACTACTGTTCATCTTAATGTCGAACGCACTCTCTTTCCTCATTGAAAAAGCAGCTTCCTGTAAGGCAATCAGAGGACTGAAGCTCAACCGAAACTGCCCTAATCTCACTCATTGCCTTTTTGCGGATGATACAGTTATTTTTGGAGAAGCATCAATTGCGGAAGCGGATAGTATTCTGGAAATTATTCAAAAGTATGGGGCGATTACGGGGCAAGAAATTAACAAGGAGAAGTCGTCCACCTTCTTCAGCAGTAATGTTAGCCTGGAGGAACAAGAAAGCATCATTACAAACATTGGCTTTGCGGACACGAACTGCCACTCCAAATATCTTGGAGTACCCACTGAATGGGGAAGATCGAAGGTCGAAACGTTCAGATTTCTCCTCCAACGGATGGAAGGGAAAAGTGAATCTTGGAAAAGCTTACTGTTATCCCCTGGTGGGAAGGAAACACTGCTAAAAGCAGTTTTTCAGGCCATCCCCTCTTATATTATGAGCCTCTTCATGCTTCCCAAACGTTCAACAAATAAGATGGACTCGATGCTCAGGAGGTTTTTCTGGGGAGGGTCTTCTCTCAAGAAGACCATTCATTGGAAAGAAGGCAAGGTCCTTTATGCACCCAAAGTGGAGGGAGGACTTGGCTTCCGACCCTTCCACGAGTTTAACTTGGCCCTGCTGGCCAAGCAATGCTGGAGAATTCTCAACAATCCAAATGCCATCTGGGTCAAACTCCTCAAAGGTCTCTACTTCCCCTCGACTGACTTCTGCTCGGCCAAAAAGGGTGGGAAAGCCTCTTGGATTTGGTCCAGTCTCTGGGAGGCCAAATCATGGATGGAACAAGGTCTGATCCGGTTAATTGGAAATGGGAAAACAACTAGAGCCTTCCAAGATCCATGGCTGTTTGAGCGACCTGGCACTCTCCTTCAGGTCCCTTCTTCTTTCCCGGGTACGGTTGATGCATGGATTGATGAAATTAACAGAGTCTGGAGGTTTGATCTGCTGAGGGAGTTCCTTCCACAGCAAGTCCTGCAGCAAATTGCGGGCACGCCTATTGGTCCAGCCTCTACGGAAGACTACTGGGCATGGCGATTGACTGATAAGGGTAACTTCACAGTCAAATCTGCTTTTCACTTCTTTCACAACTTGAACCGAGGCACCCAAGGACAACCCCAAGCGATAGTAGCACCAAACAAAGATGCTTGGAAATGGATATGGAGCCTCTCTCTCCCCCCCAAGATGAAGTTTTTCATGTGGAGATGCTGCCGAGGGGCACTGGCTTCAAAAGAAAATCTCCACTCCAGAAAATGCTCACCGACTAAGGTATGCCCGCTTTGTAATGCGCCAGTGGAGACTATCTTCCACTGTCTTTTTGAGTGCCCACATGCTGCTGAAGGATGGAGAGCAGAATGGCCTTCCCTTCCGATGCCCGCGCAGACCACGTGCATCCTGCAGTGGATCTTCTCTCTCGGTCAGCACTACTCACCCCAGAATATCCAAAAAATCATCTACCTTCTTTGGCATACTTGGAGAGCAAGGAATGAATGCATCTTCAAGTGCAAGGCTCTTTGGCCACCATCCACTATCGCAAGTGCACAAAGAAGCTTCCATCAGTGGGATAGTTGTCCTTCGAAAAGACAACTCATTCCTCTCCCTTCTCAGACTGATTCACCCCCGGAGTCTACTTCACCACCGCCAGGTACTCATAACTTTGAGATACACTGTGATGGATCGTTCATACACGATTCCCAGGAGGCGGCTTATGGCATAGTTGTTACTAATGCACATGGTCAGGTATGTGATGGGAAAGCTGAGATCCTACATTGCTATTCATTGCTAGAGGCAGAAGCTAGGGCGCTCTTGGAAGGAGCTCGGGTTGCGGCCTCACTTGGAGTATACCTTGCCTGGTCAGGACTGACTGTCTCGATCTGGTCAAGGCATGTGCTACGTCTGAGGATGGCATTCCTTGGAGAGCTGCCCCCTGGATTGGTTTGATCAAACAACTGTGTGGTTGGAATCCAGGGATCCGTATTACCTTTGTCAGCAGGAAGTTTAACATCAAAGCCGATTGGGTTGCCAGGTCCTGTGCTAGGAACCACTTCCCCCGGATTGGGTCAATGTTCTTGATATTATTTCAATCCTGCTGTAACTCGCACTTTGTCACTAGCAATGAAAAGTTTTGTCCTACTGTCAAAAAAAAATATATCTTTAAAATTATTATTATAAGTGAAAATTGTGATTTTGAAAGCGTATTTTGCCTTAATAAATTATCTCCAACTATAAGACAAGAATGACTGTGCATGCCATCAGCCCATCAGAGAGAGATAATAATAGACAGAGGCATAACTAAAACAAAAGAAATAAAAGGGCAAGCAATGGCACGATATTTAAGGCAGCCTGCACTGCTTGCTCCATTTTTTACCAGACAAACAAACAACACCCTTATTCAATTGAATAGTCTCTTATCTAACAGAGTAGTCAAACGGGTTTGACCATAGCTCTTTTGACTTTTACATTACCTGACGTATTCCCTTTCACAGTTACCTATATGATCTAGCCTAGAGCACTAGTCATAATACTACTAGGGCTCCCTTTGTGAATATTAATTTGATCTTGCAACCATGCGAGTAACTACCAAAGAATAATTCTTCTTATAATGATATCCGGTTCGAATCGAACTGGATTGCAAACTCAAACCACAGTCAAGTAGTGGCAAATTCAGTGAAATCTTCAATTTAAAAAAGCAAAATATAAAATAGCGTCGTGTAGCCCATGCAAAGGTGGTCACTCACCATTATTCTGAACGAGATGTAAAGGGCTGTGCATGCAATATGGTTGGTTCATTGTTTTGTCTTGTCTTCTCCGTGTATTATTTTCTGAAAACAATTCCACACGACAGATAGAAAAAGGCCAAGAATCTCTGAAAACCACTAGCAAAAATACATATCATATTCAATTCCCTCGTACTATATATAATATAACAACAATATATATATTATAAACGGCCTTCAAAAAGCATCAATGATTCAGTACCAAAATGAAGCCCTAAGCATCGATAATATAATCTTAAAAATAAAAAACACTATATATCATCATATATAGAGCTAGCTAAAACATGATTCCAAATCAATTCGTCACTATCATCCTCGTATATCCTCCTTTGCCCTAACTACCATTTGACCTAAAGGTTCTTATAAACCTTTCATTGCTGATTCCACAAAGTGAACATTGGAGCTTGATGGTGATTACGGTTCTGATGATCATGATCAGCCAAATCTAAGCACCTCGCGCCATTATTAGCAGCCAGCTCAGCGGCGGCGGCTGCCACGTCACTTTGCTGACAAGGATGGCCAGATGATGTACTACTACTCGATCCGTTGTGATGATTCCATGCCGCCACATCGGCGGCTTGCAACTCCTCCGACGAGCTCCTCGAGTTGTAGTCCTCCAACGCCATTAACGGTGGACCGGTGGTGGTCGGAGGAGGAGGAGAAGCACGTTTGGCAAGATCTCCGGCGATCAATGTGGAGCTAGAGCAGATTCTCTTCACGTCGTACCTACTTATGTCGAAATTGGTGACGGCGCTCGTCCCTCTGAATTTGATTGCCGCTATGTCGTATGCCTCGGCCGCTTCCTCTTGGGTACCTATTAACAAGGTCGACAGAGATCAGGTTTGTGAAACTCTATGAAAGGTTGGAGCTTGATTATTGCCCATAGAAGCACTCACAAAAGGGTATCTAGAAAACGTAAGGTAATTACAAATATATTATGTGTTTCTTCATTAAGGTTTAAGCAAATGTTATTATTTTGGGAACATTTGTAAGTGTGAATTGATGGGAATGTTATTGTTGCATAGTGAAAGTAAGATTTCGATCCATTAAAGAAAACGGTATCTTGACTTGAAGTATTAAAAGACAAAATATTTGAAATCTAAATTGAGTGGAATATTAAGAGACAATGGAAAAAAAAGTTCCTGATTCATACCCATTAAAGAAGTCACACTGAGCAGAATGTTGATATATAGTGCATGAGAATAAGATCTTGATTCATTACCATTGCAAACACTAACAGAAGGGGATCTAGAAGTATAAGGAACAACTGTTTTGGAACATTCTAGCTTGTAAGTGCAAGATGAGTGAAATTTTATTGGATAATGAAAAGGATATTCTGATTCTTACCCATTAAAGTACTCACAAAAGGGTATCCTAAAAACACAATGGACAAAAGATTTTTCACCATCTTGAGTTATGTAGTTGCAAAATTTTGTGGAGCTAATGGATATAAAATGAAGACAAATTATTAAGACCAAAGTAGTTAAAATTCCGATTTAAATCCTAAAATCTTACGATTTTACTTACCTATTCCGATTCTGATTTCACTATAAAATCTATGAACCTTAAAATTCTACTCTATTCACGATTTAAATACTTAAAATATTTAAAATCTTACGATTTTACGATTCGAATCTTTGAGTCAATTTTACTTATTTCCTCCAGAATTTGCAAAATTACGCCTCTTTTCCTTCTCATCCACCAACATCATCTAGTTCTCTCACTTTAACTACCATCGACCATCATCAATTAACATCAAAGTATTGATCATCATCGAATCACCACCTCTTAACATTAACCTTGAGAAATTAGAACATTAACCTTGAGAAATTATCATTGTAAATGTTATGTGTTTTTGTGTTAGTCGTGATTTTCTTTCTTATTATTATTTCGTCTTCATTTTTATATGCACTTTAAAATCCTACTATTTTACAATTCCGATTTTACCCACATTTTCGATTTTACGTAAAATCCTGATTTTGACGGCTTTGATTAAGACAACATAAGAGAAAGAAGGCCTACTAAATGTGCCGAGGTACAAGTCTTTGTTCCCAGCAACCCTTCCGATTCTAGCTTGCCATCGGCCATGTTGATGGTGCCTGCAGTTGGGAGGCAAAACCAAAAAGTGAAGAACAAAAATCTTTAGCAAATAAAAGGAGAAGGCAAAAAAAAAAAGACATCAATATGTTGTACTTGTACAAACAGCCCTTCAATTTGTTGGATGACTAATTGACCATCATCCCTCTGGGTAAAAATGTTGTCTTTTAAGTTTTACCCTATGCTGGCTTTTGTTCTATGGTTTTTTCATGATAGGCACATCACATGGGAGAAGAATAACTAATAATAACAGGGTTTTGTGTGTATAGATGATAAGGAAAAAAAGCCTGCTGAAGAAAGGAGACAACAAAAGAAATGAACTCTTTTTGCAGAGGTAAGGTTAAATAATGGAGGTGGGAAACCATGCAAGATTGCAGCTTTTATCATTCACCAAAGAGGTTGCTTTCTTTTCTTCTCTTTTGCTGGTCTAGTTTATAAATAGGGTGCATATTACCTTGTCACTCCTCTGTACATTGACGCTCCTCTTGAGAAACCACTGCTTTTCCTGTAAAAACAAAACAAGTACTTCCTCAACATATGATCTAATCCAGCTAGCATGCTAACGAGATCGGGTTAGCATGGATCGACACCATCAGATTTTACGTTGCTCGCGATCTCGATGTTTGATGCATGTTAGGGTTATTTCTAACAAACTCGCCGTAAGTATCGAGAGACAGACATTACGAAACTACTTGATTCGATAGTATCAATCCGCATTAACCCCAACTGGCCCTATCAACATGCTAACAGAACTCCATGCAATATAATGATACACTTTTCAGGTACTTGGAATTCTTGGAAACATTGGAAATACATTCAAACCTATTAACCATGATTTGCTTTTCTTCCATCCAAAGGGTTGAGTGTGGGAAAAAGGGTATATGACATGTACCTTCTCAAATTAGCAACAAATTCTTGCCTAGTCATGTGCTTCATCTCCTCTAGCTCCTTCTCATAAATGCTCAACTAGTTCAAATCAAGTGAAGCCACAAATGAGCAAAATGGTAACATTCTTGGAATTAATGAATTAATGAATGAAGTGAAATGTCTCAAACAAAAACTTACTGGGAAATTAATATGAGTAGTAGGACCCCAATACTTTAAGGCAGCCAAGTCATAGGCTCTTGCTGCCTTCTCTTCCTTGTCATAACCACCTAATAATGATTATGATAATCAACATTAATTTAACAAGAATAATACCACTAAAATAGGGGGAAAAACACTCTTTATTTAGATTCACTTACCAAGATAAACTGTTGACAGATTTGATGCAAGAGAGATTCAAAGTAAGCAACCCCACCACAATGACAAGAAACACAACAAGTCATCAGTATATTCCTTTCGGGAAGAACAAAGGATACATCAATAAAAATATATGATCATAAATAATAAAAAAAGATGTTAACTCAGTTTGTCGAATCCTATTCGTACCGAATTGATTAACTAGTGGGTTCACGATCGGACTTAATGTGATCGATCGGTACCATATATAGCTAGTATCACAGACTGTTACGATTATTGAATTAACTAGTTAGTTAATTGTACTCTTCCAATTACTACTATTGCTCCATAAATGAAATGTCATATTCGCTAATGGGTCCTCGCGAATGGTATATTGAAATCGAACCTATCAGCTAACCGGCTCAAATTTTGGATAACAGTTCGGCCAACACGATCGGTACGATACGGTATCACGAACGGTTACGATTTATTAACTCAAGTAATTAGTTAATCACTTTAAATTATTGTACCTTGCCTTCCTTTCCTAGTTTGACCTTCCTTCCTGCAACTGTTGTCCCACAAATGCGCCTCATATCTCCCAGTCCATCTATGCCTTCACCAATCCAAAAATTAAACACAAAAAATTAAACAATAATATATAACCAAACAAAATGCAAAATTAACAGATTAGTTTATAAACACAGTTAGTTAATTAATTACCTGGTGACACCTCGGAACTGAGAAGTCCTTTGCCCAAAAGTACTATCAACATACTTCCCACCTCCACCCCTCTTACCACTTTTACCGTCACCGTTACTATTACCCTTCCCGTGAAGGATAAGATTGTTGTTGTTGTTTTGTTGCTGCTGCTGACCAGCGGCCGCCATCATTAACCCATTCACATCACCATTAATACCGTAATTACTGTGACTAATCTGGGAGCTAATCATTGGGCTCATCGTCAGAGACAAAGTCTGATTAGTATGCTGCTGAAGATCGTCGCTAAACTGCTGCTGCTGTCTCAGCCATGCCTTGAGCCCGGCCAGCGAAGTTGACGGTGGCGGCGAAGAACCACCGCCGCCGCTGGCATCGAAATGGTAATTAGCGGTGGCCGGGTAGATGATTTGGCTATTGCCACCAGCGTGGATGAGGGAGTGTGACGGTGGAATGTTGTTGACGGTGGTGGTATTCCCTGTAGCGGTGGTGCTAAAGAAATCTTCAAGCTTAGGACTCTCGCCGTCTGCTTCCTGATCAGGATTTCTGGCCATCCCTTCTCCTCCTCCTGATACAGCAGAGAAGACTATTTTTTAACTAAATTACACCTTTTTTAGTGACCAAAACATGTGTGACAAAAAATGCTTTGGTAACCAATTTTTTGGTTGCAAAAAAAAACTATTTTTCTTTTTCTTCCTGGCATAAGTAGTAAGCGAATATGATTGAAAGGAAATTTGAGATTTGGATACCGGAAAAGGGAGGAAGATCGGCGGCGGCGGCGGAGTGGAGAGACGGCAGCATGTGATGGTGGTGCATCATGGTCATGTGATCCGCAGACGAAGAAGAAGAAGATGGCGATGAAGAAGAGAAAGCGGCAGCAAGTGGGAGTTCCAGATGATGGTGATGACTATGGTTGTGATCATTATCATTACCATAGTCGCCGCCATCATGATGATAGTCTTGGATTTGGAGGTGTGGGTTGAGGGAGAAACCCAGCCACTTGCTCATCCTAGCTATATAGTCTGCCTTGCTTTGCTTGCTCCACCCAATCTGTAATAATAAAAACCCTTACCAGCTTTGTCTCTTGTTGTTGTATATGTGAAACACAGAAACCCAAAACCTCTGCCTTCTCTGAGTGTAAGGATTCTTGTTGTTGTTGTTGTAGGAGTTCAGAAGTGTGGGTTTGTTCTTTGTTGGGACTTGGGGAGTTGAGGAATCCTCCTCTGCTGGTTGTTTTGGGGTTTTGAGTCCAAACTCTTTCTCTCTCCACATCCAATACTAATAACTTTCCTTCCTAATCTTGTTCCTCTTTTTTCCCCTCTCGACTCTTCTCTTTTAACAAATTCCAACTTTTTTCTTCACGGTATATATATGATGGTAGCAATGTGGGATATAAGGTGGTGGCCAAGTGCTTAGCTAACAAGTTTAAGAACTTGATGCCACAACTTATCCATCCCAACCAATTGAGTTTTGTTCCAAAAAGACATATTACTGATAACATCATTATTTTACAGGAAATCGTTCACGCCATGGCAAGGAAAACAGGGAAGAAAGGACAAATGCTCCTGAAAATCGATCTTGCCAAGGCGTATGACAACATAAACAGGAAGTTCTTGGAAGAGACTTTGGTGGCAGCAGGTATACCTGCTGATTGCATAAAGCTCATTATGGCTTGTGTTACGTCTACCAGCTTTCAAGTGCTCTGGAATGGTGGTGAAACGGAAAGCTTCAAACCATCACGAGGTTTAAGACAGGGATGTCCTCTCTCCCCTTACCTTTTCACTTTATGTATGGAAACACTTAGTCATTGCATCCTATAGGAAGTAAAAAGCAAGAACTGGTTTCTCGGGAGACTTTCTGCTAGTGGCCCTGATCTCTGTCACCTTTTCTTCACGGACTATCTTGTTTTGTTTGCTGAAGCCAATGTTAAGCATGCTGATGTTGTCGTGTCCTGTCTTGAAAGGTTTTGTGATGCTTTTGGGGAACTAATTAGCAAAGAAAAATCTAGAGTCTTTGTCTCTGGAAATGTTAGAAAAACAACATAAATGAAATCTATGATGGGCTAGGAATTCAGGCCACCAATGATCTTGGAAGATATCTTGGGGTGCCCGTTTTGCGGGGAGGGTTACGCTTGCTATCTCGGTGCTCAACGTTATCCCTAACTATGAAATGCAAACCACCAACCTTCTTACCTTTGTGTGTGATGCAATTGACAGGAGAATTAGGGGCTTCATTTGGGGGTCGTGTGAGGGGAAGAGAAAACCTCACCTGATCTCTTGGGACATTATATGTAAACCAAAGAAACAAGGGGGGCTGGGTCTCCGTTCTGCTCGAAGCTTGAACATGGCTTACATGATCAAGCTTGTGTGGCAGCTCCTCAACAATCCAACTGATTTGTGGGTGCAGGTTGTGCTGGGGAAACATTCCAAGAACAGGGGATGAGCTATCACCTCAATGAAGAAGACGAACCACTCGAGCCTTTGGAAAGCAATTGTCAAAGCTCTTCCACTCATGAAATGGGGTACCTGTTACAACATTAGGAATGGAGCTACAACCAGCTTCTGGCAGCACCCTTGGCTGCAGCTAGGTGTCACCCTCGACAGCTACTTGCAATCCATCATTTCACCTATGGAGATGGAGTCAGCGATTGCAGACTGGACGAATGAGGAAGGTGAGTGGGATTGGAACAGGTTGAGAGGCCTCGCCCCTAATGATGTTCTTGATCTCATTGCAGGGGTGGAGCCACCTAACCCAACGCTTGGTGAAGACAAAACCATTTGGGGCTTGGAGCAAGACGAACGTTTCAGACTGAGATCAACATACTCCCTGGCGGCCGATATTGAGACATTGGAAGCTGAACAGAGTTGGAAAGCCCTCTGGAAATGGAAGGGCCCGAGCAGGATAAAACATTTTCTTTCAGACCCTTCTCAACTTTCAGTTGCTGTTATGCAGGAGTTCGAGATATATGCTAGTAGTACTATAGAATTACAGAAAATGGCATCAGTTGTAATGAGCTGAAAGGGTTTTGGTTTCTTTTGGTTGGCATAGAGATTAGTATAGGTTACTGTGTAAAGAATGTTGATCTTTTGAGAGGGTGATGCGAGTTGCATCTCCCTGGGCTTTCAATGCAATTTTGATTAACCATCAAAAAAAAAAAAAAAAACATTTTCTTTGGCTCGTGTGCCACGACCGCTTGATGACCAACAAGGAGCCCGCGAGAAGGAAGATAGCAACCAGTAGCGACTGCAGGCATTGCAAGGAGGTGGAGGAAAAAAATTGAACATATTTTAAGAAGCTGCTGCAATGCGAAGGCCATTTGGAGGAAGCTTAGAGAGAAAATGGTGGATAACAACCTCTCCTCCCCTTTCAAAAACTGGCTGCTTGATAATCTCAAGGATGAGGAAAACGGAATTGATTTTGGAATTGTGTGTTGGCACGTATGGAAGTAGAGGAATGAAGAAATTATGGAGGGACGATGCTTCTCGGAGCAGAACCTCATTTGCCGTATACAAGCTTGGTTTAATATTGTGAGACAAACCCAGGATTGGACCCAAAAGACTTGTATGGTGGCTGAGAAAACTACCTTTACAAAGCATATTGGTTGGAAACCACCTGAGGAGGGGTGGATGCATATCCAGACAGATGGATCAGTCCACACCCATTCTGGGAAAGCTGCTGCAGGCGGTCTGATTCGGGACAGCCAAGGACGATGCAGCAGGGCCTTCACTTGCAACCTTGGCGTCTGCTCAATCACTTGTGCGGAATTGAAGGGAGCTATTGAGGGACTTAAGATGGGATGGAAGGAAGGCCATAGGAAGGTGGATCTTAACCTTGATTCCAGCACTGTAGTGGCAATCATCAAAAACTGCAGCGACGACGACCATAGACATGGCCTGCTTTCTAGTTCTGTGAAACATCTTTTGAACCTCAATTGGGAGGTGCTGGTCAATCATGTGTATAGAGAGGCTAACTTTGTCGCTGATTACCTTGCAAATATGGGTCATTGTTCGAATTTTGGCACACATTCTTCTGATGTGTGCGATCACACCCTCAAACAGTGAATGTACTACGATATCATGGGAATTTTCCATGAACATTCTATTTCATTTATGACATAGGCACTACTGCGTCACTCTTCCTACCCAAAAAAAAAGTAATGTGAGTATTAAAGTAGGGTGGTTTAGTAAAAGATATGGTAAAAGTTTGAAGATGGCCAAACCGCTTGAGTAGTTGCCTTCCTTGATGGTTAGAAGTATGTGACGATTTGTTGTTCAAAAGTACGAATTTCATTGTTGTGCTATGGAGAGTATCATCACTCCAAAAATAATAATGGAATTGTGGGTGTTGAATTGTCTATGAACCGATAATCTCTACAAGCAAATTTATATGTCAACTGACAAATTGGGTATAGATTACGGTGCATAATCCATTGTTATTCATAAAACCAGTTGTGTATGGAGTAGGATCAGGGGCGTAACCAGACATCGAGTCCACTAGGGTCCTTAAACATTTACTAACATAAATGCTTGTGTACCTAATGAATTTTGAGTTAACCGGGGTCCTTGGTGAGCTAACATCGTTGAGAGTATGTGGTACTAAACTAGAATTATCGTACTAAAACCTATGTATTTAAAGGCTTTTGTTGCCCAATTATTTGCCAAGTGGGATCATAGGACCCCTCTCCTCCTTACCTCCCTGACCCTCCGCGACTGAGTAGGATACATAATTCATGGTTATTCACAACTAAATTAAGATACTGGTGATAAGAGTCCAAATAAACGTAATCGCAAAACCAATTGCATATTATATTTTTATTACCACCTCAATGTTTTTGTAACTGCATATGTAATTAAATATTATATTTTAATTATGCAAATTTAAAGGGAGAAGAAAATAAAATAAATTAAAGAATTCCTATTTTGTAGGTTATTTTGACTTTCATATGCAATTGCATTTGTTGCAAGTTTGTAAATATGCAATAGATAGCCACATTGATGCAATTGATTTTGTTATTGCAAAACCATGACATGTCATCTTGCAACTGGAAATGCAAGACCAATGTGGATGCTCTAATTGGGTCAGGTCTAAATGGTGAGACTAAAAGAATTTTATTTTCCCTGTTTATTTAATCTGCTTATAATTCTTTGTTCTAACTTGAATTTTAAATATTTTTGCACATAACAAACGAGTTCGTTGTGATCTACAAAATGATATGAATTCTGATATATTTTGAGAAAAAAAACAATTGTAACACCCATTACCACTCCAGTACGACTTTGTACCACCTTCGTTTTAACCTAAATATTGAAACATTTTGCATAGAAGAAACAGGTTCATCGTGATCTATAAATTTTCCGAGGAAATTTTCAGTACCAAATATATCACCTTGTACCACCCTGGTCTAGAGTGGTAATTGGTGGTAGACGGTGATAAAAGATGATAAATGACGATTTATACAATCATTCTATACTATGATATATCCATACCACCATAGTATAATCTTGTGTACTACCTAGCGTTATCACTATGGTATGGTATTGACGGGAAATATATATCTCGACCTTTTGGTTAAAAAAATAAGGTAATGATTATTTATTAGCCAAACATTTTTCGTATTCTTTTTTATTAGCTAAACCTATTGAAATGCTATTAATCAACCAAACGTCAACTCTCCGTTAACTTTTTTGTTTGATGATGGTGAGGTGTCAGGCGTGGCACTGAGTTGGAAGGAATATTCTGACGTGACAGTCAAAAAATGCTACATTAGCTGGTCAACCATTGATCACTTTTTATCAATATTTTATAAATAAAAAATAAAAGGGTTAACACTAAGGGTATGCCTATGATGACTTGCAAGTCACCGTAACTTGGAGAAAACGGCCGACCTCTTTCATTAAGTGATCGACCACTTTTAAAGAAAACGATCGACCTCTTCCACCAAGTGGTCGACCACTTTCCAAGAAAATGGTTGACCTCTTCCATCAAGTGGTCTACCACTTGAGTCATCCGGTCTACCACTGTCGAAAATGGGTCGACCTGATGACACAATTACCTTTAAGTAACAAAGTTGATCCATCACAAGACAACTATAGAAAATAAATAAGAAAACTTAGATTTTGAAGGAAAGATGAAAGTCTCTATAAAGTAAGTCAAATATAAGAAATAAATATTGGAACATTTTTCAAATCTACGGGAGAACAATCACTTGAGAAACTTGTTAGCAAACATATCTATTGT